AGTGAGAACGCTCACTCGAAGAGCAGCACAGCAAGAGAGCTCAAATAGAATCAGTATTAGTATATTGATGCTATCCGAGCTCGTGAAATTTGAATATGTAAATCAATAGATCATAAAATATGGTGATATTTTCTATCTAATGAATGGAGAGCGTGCTTTTAAATTTGCAAACTGTTCAATATTATTATCCCGATGATTTTGACAGGAAATGTTGGATGTGCCTCCGCTGTATATTGTTGGAGCATTTATTCCTGCCACAATGATTGCTGTACTTTACCTTCTCCCCCCCCCCCCCCTCCCTCCAAATCTCACTATATCTTTCTACTCTGACCAGGTCATATTATGTGGTCTTGTTGGAATTCCTCCATCCAATGGAGTCATTCCACAATCTCCAATGCATACAAAAAGCTTGGCCACTCTGAAACATCAGGTACAGTAAGAGAACCTAGGTGCAAACATTCAATGCTTGTTTGGTACACGCTACGCCGCATTAATGGATAGGACTGGACTAATACTGAACTTGATATTAGTTTCTCTTTTCTTCATAATATTGTCCAATGTTAGTGTAATCCTTCCAAGCCAACATGCCATTAGGGTTCCACCCCCCAACCCCCCCTTTTCTGATAGTTATTTCTTGTCTTGCTTCTTATTGGAGTGTATTGCTTCCCAAAACAAGAGCCCTATCACAAGTTTTCATTTCTTTTTCTCTTTTCAACAGCTCTTGCGGAATAAGCTTGTATCGACAGCTCGAAACAGTATGCGGAAAAATGCAAATTTATCTCAGTTGTATAGGAATATGCAAGAAGCTTACAATGAAATGCAGACTCCACTTGTATACCAAACTCCTGCTACTCTGGTATGTTGTGGAAAAGATTTGTGTAGCTTTGTTTCTTGAGTGGATACAAATAGCTGACCCACCTAAAAGTTAAGCTGTTACATATGATACATATTTACTTACTTAAATTTAGCCTCAGTTTGGCAAATTTATAAATCATTATAGAAGAATAGCAGTAGGTCTCATGAAATATGTAAATAATGAATGAGTAGTATTTATAAATGTCAAGTTGAAATTAATGTTTGACTTTGCTTTAACTTTGATTGAATTTATAAGCCATTTATAAATTGGCAGCCAAAGTCATCAACTGCCTCCCTCATGTGCAGCCTGGATTCTATCAAAGGCTTTGAACCTTTGAACCCAGAACCTTTGCACTCTAATACCATGTTTAACTTCATTTAAAATCTTAAACGATTAGAGATTGGGGGGGACATTTATATTTAAATGTCTTTATAACAATTATTTCTATCTTTGTAAATTTGCATATTTCTTCTCATTTAAAACCTATGATCAGGGACTGAAAGAACTGAAAGACTCCACAGTTCAACGAGCCTCAAGTGGTGGCTACATAGATGCACCAGTTGATGAGTCTGTTTTTGACGTGGATAAGGATGTTGATGATCTTTTACCTGTAGAAGTTAAAGAACAACGCATCAGCAATCTTCTTCAAGCATTCATGGTTGGTGGTTGTGTTGCTGCTATGCCCCTTCTAAAGAAGATTCCAACTTCAGTCCTCTGGGGGTACTTTGCTTTCATGGCAATAGAAAGCTTGCCAGGAAATCAATTCTGGGAAAGGATATTATTGCTTTTTACTGCTCCAAGTCGAAGATACAAGTATAATATAATTTTCATGGTTGAAAGTTGGATTTTAGTTGTGTTCTTTATTTTGAAACTGAATCATATTTTTATGGACTCAAATGAGTTTGAACTCAGGAAATGCTGCTTTTTTCCCTTTCCAAACGTGAAATGTCTTTCTCATTCATGGCTTTTTCTGAAACTTTATGTTACCAATAATTTAGACTATACCTGTATTTCTTGCATGATGTTTGGCTAAGCTTAAGTAAATCTACTTTTTTTGGTAGTGATTTACTGTTGGAAAAGTAAGATTTTATCCAAAATTAAAAAATAAGTCACTTTTAGAAAATCTCAAACATGTTTGGTAAAAAAGTTACTTAAAAGTAACTTTTAAGCTCAGACAAAGATGCTTGTAGAAAAAGAAAGAATCTTCTAAACAGTGCTATACATATTTTTATTATTTTTCTTTATTCTTATCGTTATTCATTGAGCAACTGCATATCTTCTTTGAATCTTGAACTTCGTCAGGGTGCTAGAGGAGTATCATGCAACCTTTGTGGAGACAGTTCCTTTTAAAACAATTGCCTTCTTCACATTGTTTCAAACAGCCTACTTGCTCCTATGCTTCGGACTAACTTGGATCCCTATTGCTGGTGTCCTTTTTCCACTGTTGATTATGCTTCTTGTTCCGGTGCGTCAGTATTTGCTTCCCAAGTTTTTCAAAGGAGCCCATCTACAAGACTTGGATGCTGCAGAATATGAAGAATATCCAGCTATAACTTACAACCTATCCTTTGAAGTAAGTTGCAATTGAATTTATCTTGTGTTAAAGTAGAAGCAGAAGTGAAGTGGAAAATTTACTTTGAACTTGTCTGCCCTAACGTGGATTTTATTGGTTTGGTGACTCTGGTCATTCATGTTCGGAAACAAAATTTTACAATTTTTACTTATTTTTAAGCTTAGGAAAATTGTCTCTGAGCCTTTTTCCATACAAATTTGGGGTCGACTAGTTGAATCCTTTTCTACTACGACATTCTTTTCGTTCCTTG